AGGTTGGAGGCCTAGTAGGAGTAGGAGGCCATCGCTAGTAGGTTGGAGGCCATCGCTCTCAGGTTGGAGGCCATCGCTGGTTTCAGTTTTTTGAGGTCGGTATCCCCAATCTGCCACCCCTGGCTGGTGTTGACCGCGTTGCGGGGTTGCTGCCTTGGTCTGACCGATCAACAGTGGTTGCCAGTTAGAAGTTCAAGACCTGAGGTGGCTGGTGACTCTGAATGGCATGCGAGTTAGTGGCTCATCACGTGTGCTTTTCGAGTCTCACTTTTTGCCCCTGAACAACATAGAAAAAAATGGGTCTTTCGTCGGGTCGCGATGTTGATTGAGGCCTCTGACCACATCTCCGAGGACCAAAGTCGGCAGTTGGCCCTTGATGTCGAGCAGGCAGCCTCCTCCAGCTTTGAACTCCATCAGACCACCCAAAACAACTGGGATCAACTGGGACTCTAAGTTGACTTGACCGACCCATGTGTTTCAACGTGTTTCACTCAAGCAGGTTCATATGTGTCAGGAGTCTCTTTCTCATAAACCATTCACATTGTGTCCATCATAAGGAAAACCCCTGGCCTCCTGAAGAGGCCTACACCTCGCTGAAGAACTGGCTTCATGAAAAGACCTGAGAGCTGCTCAAGAGCCCTTGCTGATCATTGTTTCACCGGCTACACTGGGAGTACACTAGAAGTAGAGAAAACGGGATGGAGCAGTGCTACCTGGAGGGTGGTATGAGACAGATCCACCTAATAGCGTCCTTGCTACTAGTAGCTTCTTGTTACTACAGGTGAAACGATTCCCAGTGAAACGTTTCCCAAGGAAGCTTCTAGCTACTAGTAGCTTCTTGTTCGTAGTGTACTTATGAGACTCATGCTCATGCCTTTGTGCAGCAAACTTACCTTCTACGCAGAATGCTTGACAAGCAAAAATCAGAGACTGGCTCTTGGTTTGTGGTTGATGTGAGCCCTAGGTTGAGAACCTCCCCGGTGGTTTGATAAGGGGGCACCTTCTTAACAGAGATCATTACTATCCGAACTATCCAGGGTCTAGGGCTCTCAAGGTTCCCCATTACTGAGCCACCAGGGGGGTAATTCATCCGGGGGTCAACATTCGTGTTGATGTCACTCCAGGACTAGGGTTGATGGAGGGACTCTTCTTGAGCTGGGGGCCCCCCGTCGACTGCGCCACAGGGTCTGCAGTGGCAATTCGATTCGAAAAAGCCTGTGCGTCGTATGAGGGTTCTGCACGTTTACTACTGAGAGTGTGCCACTGTGTAAAGGACAACTGTCTTGCTTTTTGTATGCATTTCTGCAGGCTCAAGCGGCCAAGTCCTTCAGCTGGCTCAACATCCCAACAAGAGAGCAAGCTTGTGTAAGCCACAAGTCAGACACGTGCACCACAAAAGAGCAGAGTTCAATGCATCCACCAGGACGCAATCAAATTGTTGAGTGGGTCAAAAACTGTCCCACCAGAAATCACTGTGCAGCAACCCGTCTGCTGCTTACAACGTTAACCAAAAGGGGATCGAGCCAGCGATTCGGCTCGCTCGATAGACTTGAGGCTCGTCAAGCGATTCGGGCTCAAGATGGGAAAGCCACAAACTCAGGAGATCAAAGTCCAATCGAAGCGAAAGCGGGTCATTTTGCGCTTGTCAAATCTCTGAGGAAAAAAAAGGTGGAAAAGAGCCTCGTCTGAGAACACGCATTTGTTTGCGCATGTTTCTTTTTAGCTTACATGCAGGATGATCAAAACCATCGAATTGGGTGAGTGATACACCAGACCTACTGTTTAGTCACTATATACGATTCCCATTTCCTTCTGGCACCATTATTTTTGACACTCCCTTATACAGACTGTATGACTCTGTATGTCTTAATAGTCTATTTGAGGGAGATAGATCAGTAGCATCAGAGTGTTGATTTCATGCAGTCTCATTGGGCAGATTGCAGGTCGACTTCGTTTTCGACTATGACCATCAATTTCGAAGAGCTAGCAGAAAACGAGGAGTGGCAGGCCGGAAAAAACATACATTGGCTTGGCCTTCTGTCATACATCCCGGGTCCCATGCATCCTTGTCTATCTGGATACACTTGGCAGTCGATGAATCAGCTCCTGCAGAAGATGACTGACAGCCGTGTTGCCTTTGAAGAACAACAGAAAGAGGCCTGCATCTCATTTCTGCCCACTGCGTTTGTTCTTCAAGCCATCGGGTGGGATAGATAGGCTGTCGCCTGAAAATGCCCAGACTCCACTGACATCTGTCCATGTTGTATCCAAGCATTCTTCTCCATATCCATCACCCATTTCTTCGATTGCACAATTCAGGAAAAGGCGGCCCAGAAAGCAGCTCGGAAGGCTCGGCAGAAGGCCCGGCTGGCCAAGAAACCAGGCGGCATCGTCGCAACGTCCGGTGTTCGACTGGCAACGTGGACTGGTATTTTTGACTTGTTTACTTCACTGTCATGCGCTACTAGTAACAAGGGCATTACTACTAGTAACAAGGGCATCGCTACTAGTAGCTAGTAGCAACAAGGACATTAGAATAACACTTCACTTTCATGCGGCTGCATGCGGCTGCTCGTTGACAGGTGGTGTTCCCCTTTCAGGTCCCTTTCGGAGACCCTGTGGTGTGCCTCAGGAGGCCAGTTGGAACTTGTGAAAGACTAACTCGAGCCTGCAGAAGTAAACACTGTAAAAAATCTTTGGTCAATAGTCTTCGTGATTCAGGCGGTATTCCTCAAGTGACTCAAGTGTATATTGTTTAGTTTAGGCCCGGCAAACATTTCCTGATGTTGTCTTTCAGATACTTCTTCAGCCTATCCTATGATCTCTCTCGCATTTGAATGAAGCCATTTGCTCTCCATTGCTTTGGTGCTTGCCAGTGGACTTTCTCGGTCTTTGCGTTTTATTGTTGTGCTCCATGCTGATCTATGCGCTTTCTATTCCCAGCTTGGAGCCTTCAAGAGATTGCCCGTGCAGTGCGCCGAAGAATTCACCGTAAACCAGTGCCGAAGATTGCCCGATGAATGCTTGAGGTACTTGGAACCAAAGGATGCTGCCATGATGGATCGCCCAGATCGGTGCAGATGGTGCTCACCTTGAACCCGATTTTGACAGATAGTGCTTTGGGTGATCTTTCTCTTGCAGGTATAGCAAGGAGAATCATCCTGCCTTCATGATTCCTGGGCAAGTGCTCCTTTGAGCCAGTGGAAGTCATTGGACCCACTAGCTTGTTGTCGCACTGAAAATGAGCATGTTTTCTGCCGCTCCGCTCCACATCCAGCATTCTCTCAAGGTCGAGACTCACTTTTTAATCACCGATCACTCGGAAAGAAACGAGCTAGTTCGCCTCTTGCATTCGAAACAACCTCGATGAGCTTGTTTTGTTGGCGACTGCTTATTGTTCCTGTTCGAACAGAGGTCTTCTAAAGACTGGAAGATAGAACTCCCAACATTCAAGACAGAGAGGCAACACCTCACAAGCATCATCATGAGCTTCATGGACAATTAAAGCAATGCCTGATGTGCAAAAAACATTTGTTGACCATTATGCCGGTTGCCAAGCTGATTGTTGGAGGTCGTCGCTATTAGATTGTAGTGGCAGTGCAGCAACGGTCTTCCAAGGCAGTGCTGGGGTGTTCCCCCAGCAATACTCCTGAGGAGCTGAAGAAGGCACGCTTGATCACAGTCGAGCCACGTTTCATTAGCAAGCGGCAGACGCTTACACCATTCTTTGTGATATCATGTTTTTTTCCTTCAATGATACTTGGATCATCTTGGATCTACTGTAGTGAGTGCAGTGGCATGTAAAGACTTTGCTCATCAGCTATAGTGGATATCTTTCACTGCCAGGCATACCATGAGAAGCTCAGACAGCTTGGAGCACCAGCGCCTTCTGCCCAAACGTCGAGTCTGAGGGGCGGTCACTGAGGTTCCATCCTGACAAGCGGCCATGGAGTGCTGGTGGCTATGGTGAGAAGGAGAGGACTTGCTTGGACGTACTGTTGTAATATGTAAAGTAGCTTCTTGTTACTACTAGTAATGCCCTTGTTACTAGTAGCTTCTTGTTACGTTGAATAACATATATATATATATAGCGAACATTGCTCCTAGTAGCGATGCCAGGAGCCCCTAGTAGCTTCTTGTTCCTACAATATATATATATACACACGTAATGTAATATTGATTATATAATGGTGTTTCCGTTTTGGCTCTCGACATCAACGAAACGACAGAAGTCATCTTGATTCGTCAAGAGGTCACCCAATCTCTGAACGAGGCAAGACGGAGTGGGACCGAGTAGGACTGAGTACAAGTAGGCCTGCAAGAAGCTACTAGGGGCTCCTGGCATGGCCACTAGGAGCAAAGACGCTACTAGTAACAAGGCTTGCTTAGGTTTGGAACTCTTGGAACTCTCCGCAAGATGTGGAGGCTTGGGAAGCTTTGCGTTTCCCAGCGCTCCGTGAGGCCAATTATCGATCACTGAAATTGACCATATTATTAAGACCCAGAGCACACACACACATATGTATACATATATATATATATGTGTGTGTTTTCATTTGTTTTTTCGTATATACATTATATATATATATAGTGTTTTCCATATGTTTCGGATCATTTCATGCTCGGCAAGGCCTACGATGTGATTTGGCATCGAGAGCAGTCGCTTGACTTCAGACATGTGTCATTTGCAGGGGATCATGTCACAAATACCCCTTCCTTGTCTAGCTCTTTGGGGGGGCCTTGCCTTGTGAAAAGACATCAAAGAGTCACAAGGCCTTGCCTTGTGCTTGTGATCAAAAGCGTTCTTTTGACTTTTCGATGTCTTTTTCAGGGCACCGCGGGCACCGCCGGCACCGCCCGCACGCGTGGCCCCTCAACCTCCAGAGCCAAAGAGAGAGCCACGTGGTCGCTCAAGGAGGCGACAGCATAGCGAGGCGGTCTTCGCCGCGGTGCAGATCGGTGCGGATCGGTAGTCGTTGGATCAGGAGACACCCGGAAGAGGTGCCAGAGACATCGACGCCTGAACACCAGGCCTGGTAACAAGTTTAACGGGGCCCTCCTGCTTTTCTTTCTTTCTTTTTTGCCTGTTCATCCATTTCTCCATTACTCCCTGTGTCGAGGCGGAGGTGTTGCGCAATGAGGGGAATGATCTCTACAGACGTGTCTCCGCCTCAGCTCCTTTTATTTGGATTGGAATGATCATCACCGACTTGACGAAGAGGCCCAAGCGGCGGTGTTTGCCGCACGCTCAGCGGAAGCTGTGAGGTGCTCAGGGAAAAAACATTCAACTTTCTATGCTGAAGGATAACTTGATTCCAAAAGTATGAAGAAGAACTGAGAAGCTTAAGTCTACTGTAACCTTTTTAAAATCCGTCCCCCATTATCTACCTGAAATTTTTTAGATTACAACCTAATAGCGATGGCCTCCAACCAAATAGCGATGGCCTCCATCTAGCCTCTATTCTGTGACTCAGCTTGAGTCTGATTATTTTGAGGCCGAAAGTCTGGAGGCACGGATGACTGCGATGCAGCAGTGCGCACTCAGCTCGGATGGAGGTAGGGTTACGCCCTGGAAGAGACCCACATGGAACCTGAAAACCGCTGCGTTCTAGAGGAAAACAGTCTTCCAAAGGTCCATTTTCAGGTTCCGTGTTAATCTTCCCGGGCGTTAAATTGTAAGACCTGCGTTAAAGAAAGGAAAGCAACACTAAAAGAGACAAGTCCTAAAACCTGAGCGAAAGACCCAAGCCTTCTTGGCAGATTTCTTGCATGTGTCCCGACGTTCGTGACGTTGGCAGTTTGCTGAACGAGAGGTATCGGCTGGCGATCCGCAAGTACACTGAAGCAATCGAGCACTTTTCCCAGCTGTGTGTGTTTTGCAATTCCAACCTACCAGCGCTGGAGCCCCCCCCCTCCAACCTAATTGCGATGGCCTCCAACCTAATTGCGATGGCCTCCAACCCTCTAGCGATGGCCTCCAACCTATTAGCGATGACCTCCAACTTACTAGCGATGGCCTCCAACGGCCTCCAACCTACTAGCGATTGCCTCCAACCTAGTAGCGACTAGTAGCGATGGCCTCCAACCTACTAGCGATGGCCTCCAACCCAGGAGCAACATGCTAACTACAATGTGTGACAATCTTAAAGAGTCAACAATGAACCTGCAAGATTAAGCACTACGAGCGAGAATATGCAAGAACGCTTCGACAGCCTCACGTTTGCCTTGACAAACCTTTTGAAGTGACCAAATGTTTGTGTTCTATAAGGACCCTGGTGACTGACTCTTGTGACTTATGACTAGTGCACACCGGTTTGTAGGTGACACACCACTCTTGAATTTACAAGTCTTGCGCAGCACTGTGAGGCTTACTCCAAACAATCACCGCCTCTGGAGCAATCGGGCATTGTGCCTTTCTTTTTGCGAACCACCGACTGTGCTGGTTTCTCCAACAGAATACCTTCAATTCTAATAGCTTTTTTGTTACTACTAGTAAGGCACCTGTTACTAGTAGCGTGGCACTTTGTTACTACTAGTAAGGCACCTGGTTTTCTCCAACACCGATCCCAAGCTGACCGATCTTAGGTGCCACATGGCTCTGAAGCAATGGGACCAATGCCGGGAGGCGGTCAACCAACATTGTTGGTGCAACACATTGACGACATTATCTTCCTTGGAAGGATTTGCATTTTCATGCTTTGAACAAAGCCAAGTCCATATTGCCTTGGGCTCGTCAAGCACAGCAAGATGAGCATTTGAGCATGTGTTCATTCTTTACATCCATGGTCCATAATATATACAGTAACATTGCTGAAGAACCGTGGGGAAGGACTTTGGTTGAGTTGAGATGATAAGCAACGAAGGTGCAAACTCGTTGCCGAAGCACAGAATCAGAAGCAAATGCCAGCCATCACTCTTTGATCCTCATTCCTTATTGCTGCTTTAAGCTTAGCCTTCCTAGTGTGGAGGTGTTTGTGTAGATTGTGGACCATGGCAGATTCTGAGGTCAATTGCTTACACAAAGCGGATGGAAGACTTCCAGGCAAACCGCTTTAAGACGAGAACAGAGCATAAATTCTACTGAACCCCACCAGTTTGTCACCAATTTTCTCGACGCAGGACCGACTTTGGGCTGCTTGGCGCTTGGTGCATGGAACGCGGCTCTCGGCGGAGGCACTTCAACGTGGCCAAAGCAGCAGCAAGGCACGGGAGGCCCTTCGTGACCTGGCGAGACTTTGGTGCCCCGCATGTGGCATGTGCTCCGATCTGAAATATCCGCATCAACCAGTCAGAGGCAAATCCTCCAATCCAGAGTGTAACATGGTGAATAAGAGACCCTTGAGATCCTTTTAGACCCCAAATCTGATGACCCGAAGAGTTTCTTGTGGATTCTTTCTTGTTGACAGAAACTCCCTCACAGGCACAACATGGAATCCAAGTGGTGGTGAACTCCAAATGCCTTTTCCTCACATCAAAGATGGACCGAAAAAAGATATCCGAATGTCACCGAATGTCACCACGCCGGTCATGTACATCGCTAGTAGGTTGGAGGCCATCGCCAGTAGGTTGGAGGGCATCGCTATTAGGTTGGAGGCCATCGATATAGTAGGTTGGAGGGCATCGCTATTAGGTTGGAGGCCATCGATATAGTAGGTTGGAGGCCATCGCTATTGGGTTGGAGGCCATCGATATAGTAGGTTGGAGGCCATCGCTAGTAGGTTGGAGGCCATCGCTAATAGGTTGGAGGCCATCGCTAGTAGGTTGGAGGCCATCGCTAGTAGGTTGCAGGCTGTCGCTAGCAGGTTGGAGGCCATCGCTGTCAGGTTGGAGGCCATCGCTATTAGGTTGGAGGCCATCGCAATTAGGTTGGAGGCCATCACTATTAGGTTGTAGGCTATCGCTAGTAGGTTGGAGGCAATCGCTTCTGGGTTGGAGGCTATCGCTAGTAGGTTGGAGGCCATCGCTTCTAGGTTGGAGGCCGTCACTAGTAGGTTGGAGGCCGTCGCGAGTGGGTTGGAGGCCATCGCTATTAGGTTGCAGGCCAAAGCTATTAGGTTGGAGGGCATCGTTATTAGGTCGGAGGCTATCGCTAGTAAGTATGTTGGAGGCGCTTCTAGGTTGGACATTTTTCGGACATTTCGAACGCTAAGTGCTCAGTGGCGACTTTGCGCGGTTCCATCGTGAAGTATTCACGGCTTCTCAAAAGAAGACTTTGCATGATCAGATGATCGCATCAAGTGCTGCTATGCAGCCAGTGCTCAATCCTGAAACAAGGCGAGGATACTGGTTGGATCCTGCACAGGTTCGGTGGTCTCAAAATCAACCTGCATACTGCACAGCTCCGACGTGCGGAGAAGCCAGATCATGGCCACCTGAGTTTCAAACCATCCCGGAAGGCGAGAGGTCGCCATCGCTCGGGAATCATCATCACACATCAGCCACTCCGTGGCTGCGGTGAGGTCAAAACACTTCAAGGCAGCACGAAAATGGCCAGCGTTGGGACGTCCCAGGTGGGCAAGTGCAGCGATTGGGGTGTACTCAACAAAGTCAAGTTGAGTGCCATCACCTGTGAATCGAGGGAGCCGGATCACTGAATCAAGATGCACCCGTGCCATAAGCTTCAGACCATCCCCACTGCCTGTCATATGTCGGAGGCGGTCCAAATGCACACAGACCAGGGAGGGGAGGTGAGTGTACGCCGTGATCCTGCCAGCTTCGGTATGCCAATTCTCAATCAACTGATGCAGAAATTGAACCGTATCCGGCATCACACGTAGGTGCAACATGTTGACTCCAGCAGCGGACGCATGTCTTTTTACTGCTCCAGATTCCCTGGCGTAGCGACGCTCCCAGATGTTGTGGACAGTAGACAGGTCCATTTTGGACATCAGAAACAGTGTAAATTCAACAGCGTCATGCTGCTGCACCCCATTCCAAGTGGCAAGTTGAGCATCAAAGGCCGTCAGGTCAAGGACCAAGAAAGGATTGGATCCCTGATGCAGCATGCTTTCAATGCCAGCTTGGAGCAACCCCCAGTCTTCAAAAGCAAAGTGCTGTCTGTGCATCGTGGCCCAAACCATTGCCTGCATGGACGAGTTGATGTAGCAATGGTTGGCAGGGTTTTGCAACTCCCAGAACACCACGGTGCGAGCCAGGTGCACTCGATCTGCTTCCATCATAGGCTCTGTAGCATGTCCTTGACCTTCACGGCCAATGGTGAGGCCTTCAGCGTGTGAGGCTTCATCTGGATGCCTGCAATTTGCCACAAGCTGAGATGGCAGCTCGTGGTGAGAAGGTGGTGAAGTCGATCGTTGCGTTGCCCCACCTGTAGCTTCCATGGTTGGCTCTTGGTGGACTCTTGTTTGCTCAAGGAATGGAATCGTTGGATCGCTCCCTCTTCCTTGACGAGGGTGAGCAACTCCTCTAGGAGTTCTTGTGCTGCTGCCATCGTCATAGGCGTTTTCGTCTTGGACAGCACGAGCTTCTTGTTGGCCTGATCCCATTGAGTGTACGGCCATGTCAGGTCCTCCAGCAAAATGCCGTTCTTCACCATGGTGGTCTTCAGTGGGTCTTGATCGGAGCAGGCCATCAGCTTCAGAAGCCTGCGTTGCAGTTCTCGTAGAAGTGCAAGGATCAGGAAGGTGCGGAGGGTGGTGGTCTTCTCCTTGAGATCCGTCCATTGCCGGTGAGCCGACTGCAGCAGTGGAATGCTGCCCTCTGGGCTTGGAACCAAGAAGAGAATGAATGTATCCTGCATTGCGCTCGTCTGCAGATCCTGGTCGTGCCGAAGCATCAGTTGACCCATGGCTCGAATGAGATCTCGTAGAGGGGGCTCCCGGTCCGCCATCTGCCGATCTCGCTTGCTTGACCCGAGTCTGGCCCTCTTGGATTGATCCTGATCTTTTCCCAGTGTGTCCACCTGGCCCCAGCCTTGGAGCGCCACCAATGATTGCTCCGTGAAAGCGTCCTCCATGGCTGCCGAGCCAAAATCGCTCATGGATGGGAAGAGCGATCAAAGAGGAGATCTGGATCAACGTAGGACAAGCGATGAGGTGAGCCCTGAGGTCGTCTCGAGCCATACCACAGAAACAGCATCCAGGTGAGATGGCCATGGGAACGGGCAGCAAGCGCAAGATCTGTTGTACAAACATCATCAGACCACGTTCTTGACAATGATGCTCAACAAGCAGATGGGTCTGTAGATCAGTGCCATGCCCCCGATAATCACACATGAAACATCGTGAACTCAGCAGCTGGATCAATGCGTCACACTGCCACAACTTCTGAAATTTGCGATCAATCAGCCAGGAGTGCGCATCAGTAACCAGCTCAGGCGGCAGCACACCTGGGCGAAGCAACTGTTCCAGGATCTCTTGATCAAATACCCATGGCACCAGCAGGTCATCACGCAGCCGTAAATGTGTCATAGCAAGTTGTCGGAGCCCCACACATTCATGCTTAGAGGTCATAGAGGCCACCGCAGGGTTGCGAATGCATCCTGTCAACGGACTGATGACGTGCTTAAGGCTGAGACCAAGTTGAAGAGCATCATTCCACAGGATGGAGTGCCTCTCTTGCAGGTGTCGGGAAAGTTCACGCGCCCCAGGAAAGACACGACCACAGCACAGGCACTGCACAGTCAGAAAGGTTCGAGCACCTGCTTCTCGAAGATAGGGTCCAAGGCGTCCACTCAGCAGGGCGGCCTTGAGTTCAGGGCTGATTGGAACCTCTGGGACTGGTTTTCGTGGATCAAAATGCTTGCAATGCCCCTTTGTGATGTGGTAGCGGAGTGCATCCATTGATGTGACCAGAAGACCACAGTGAGAGCATGCCGGTTCTCCTTCTACAGAGTCTCGCTTGGGGTCATACCGGTGCATCTGCTGCTGATGTGCTTGCAGGTGTGCCGTCAGCAGAGCCCTGGAGGGGAAAGTCTGCGAGCATAGGTGGCATGGCCAAGTATGTGAAGGCGACTGTGCCAGCTCCTTCGAGGTCTGGGCATGGATCGGTGTGGTAGCCGAGGCCTCCATTGCCGTGCTCGTCTCAGCCTGCAGGATGGCGGCTTGCAGGAGTATGGGGCAGCCATGTTGCTGCTTCCAGGAGAGTGAGCAGAAGGGACATGGTGAGGTCCTGACATGTGTCCTCTGCAGCGCAACCATGTGATCAATCCCAGGGATCAGGATCTGTGGGTGAGCCTCACGAAGATGAACAACCAACTCCCGGCTACGAGTGCACCATCGACCGCACTGTATGCAGTGATGAGAAAGGTAGTCACACAGCTCACGATCCTGCTGAAGCTCGGCCCATTGATTCCCCCGAACGAAGGCAGCAACTCTGGAGCGAAGGGAGGAAAGGTTCATCACCTGAGCGCGAGGCAGGCAGTCAAAATAATCCCTAATGGTTGATTTGACCGGTGGGGAGTGATTGCAATTATCAAACTTGTCAAAGCTGACGAGTTCACTCCACATGCGCACAGGGATAGTTTGGGTGAACTCAGGTTGAGAATGGCGTGCATACTCGAACGGTCGACTATGACATCTCATCTGAGTGATGTGCAATCGGAAGGCTCCCCAGGTGGCAAAAATCTGCTGACAGAAGGCACACTGTGGAAGACCTGCAACGGCATGC